CAGGATAGATCAATAAATGGTTGGCAATGACTTTCATAGCTTCAGAACAACTCATACTGGCAGACGGCAGAGGAAACATGGGGTAAAACAAAATCTGTTCCAAGGATACATAGAACATTACAGTTTTTCCTTCAGAAGAGACTGAACTGGGGGAAGGGGCCTGAACATGGCACTGTGAGGAGTAGGAGCTCCAGATACCCACCACATGTGACAGCTTACTGCCTTACCTGGGGCCTGAGCCAGTGCGGTGTCATATCCTGCGGGGACCCCAAGTGTGGGCTGTCCTGGTGGCGGGTGATGATGAAGGGAGCTGATAGTGAGCAGTGCTGACCAGAGGAGTCCTTGGGAGAGTGGCAGTGGTTTGAGAGGAATGCTGGACCCTCTGGACGCCTATGGACTGGAATCTGGAGGCGGAAGTACTGGAGGGGACAGTGAGATCGTCCAGGTGACCAACCATGTGACCATGTGACCACCCATGTGACAACCCAGGGGACTATGGCGACAATTTTAAAAATGACAAGTGGTCCTAAAGGAATAGGAGAGCAGTGAGATATCAGCCTTGGGAGACCCTGAGACCCTGAAACACCCCGGACCTTTTGACACATAGAGTTCCCCCCACTGATCCAACTGGACCTTCCTGGAGCCTGGCTTGGAGAACTCAGCGGGACTGGAGGTGCAAAGGGATTGGGCGGTCCTGTGCAGTCGGCTCAGAAGGTGGTGGTGAGTTTCCGTAGGTAACGGCGGGATATTTAATTCTTTGTCGTTCCTGATATAAACTGTTGCAATTTAAAATACACCTTTGCACTTTTTTTTTTTGCACTGGGGGGGGGGGGGGGCTATATGAGCACTATAAGAGCTGGGGTGTTTAGTGGTGGGTCGAACTGACGAGATTAAAGTAGCACAATAGAGGCAGTAAAAGCCATCAGAAGAAAAGAAAAAAGGGTCTTTCCTTCTAACGGTAAAACCTTAAACGAAATGAAAAGTAGATCTGTTAAAGGAGGAGGGGATCAAAAAACCCCCAATCAAATGCAAATACAAGCATAATCAGACAATACATGCCACTGCAGGAGAAAAGCCCAGAGATCCAAACTATGGAGAAACAGCACAAAGTAATTAAAAAGTATGATGGAGATCAAGCTAGACTGTCATTCGGGAAACTGGAAGAGAATCAGACCAAAGAATTTACAAACATGGAAAGGGTAAGAGAACAAGGAAATATGGAACAGCAATGAGCCATGTCACAAATACCTACAAAAACTGAGATGGCGGAAATGTTCGCGAAACTAGAGATGTCCATGAAAAGTTAGATGGGGATATTACGCAATGATTTTGGTTGGATACTAACTCGAGCTGAAGAAGTAGAGGGGAGAGTGGAGGTATATACACAATTACTTAATAATTTAGAAACACAAGTGGAGGTGATGCATAGAGAACAGAGAAAGCTCTCATTTATAGTAAAAGAGAGAGTCACAATAGAAGAAATAACTTAAAAAAAAGGTGAGCAGCTACAAAAAACTGTAGCTGCTGACTTTTAAAATACAGCCACTTACCTGTCTCTTGGACCAGTGGTGTCCTCACCACCACTGGTTTCACTGACCATCTTCTCTTCCTGGCGCTGGCATCTTTAGTGTGGGCACCCGGCTGTGACAGCTTGCAGCTTCACAACCAGGTGCCCACTGCGCATGCGCGAGAAGTGCTGCACTTTGTGAATGGCCCCGTAGTCTTCTGAGACTTGTCATGTGTCCCAGAAGACAATGGGGAGGGAGGGAGGACAGCTTCCGCTTCCGATCGCCTAGGCGATCGCAATGTAAGTGGGAGCGGGTACCTGTCAAATTCGGGTACCCACTCCCCAAAGGTGCCAATCCTAACTATGGAGCGGGGGACAAAGCATTAAAGTGGAACTTCTCCTTTTGGGTGGAACTCCGCTTTAATGATCAGGGGTATACCAGAAGAAGAGGAACAGGAAGAGGATCTACGGGAGATCGAAAGGATCAGATGGCCAAAAGGAGTACCAGTGGAAAGCCTCAGAGACATGATATTTTGATTTCATCACTCTGAAGATAGAGATCGGATATGGAAAGGCTTGCATGACTCTACCGAAATAAAATATGAGGAAACAAACTTGCATATTTTTGTGGACATTGCTCCAGAGACACTGGCTAGAAGAAGATCTTTGAAACCGTTGTTGAAGCATATGAGAGAGCAAAAAGTTTGATATAACTGGGGCTTCTCAGCATGCTTAATTGGATGGAAAGATGGAAAATCGGCAAGGCTGAGGTACCAAGAAGATCTCAATGACTTTTGTGAGAAATTAGACTTACAGAAAATAGATCTTGAAGGATGGTCAGAGGGACCTAGAGAAAGTGGACAGCAGGGATTGGGAAAATGGCAGCAGGTATCTAAGAAGAAGTAGGGGGCGTGGTGTAGGGGTCAGGAGGTGGGAGGTTTGGAGAGAGAGACCCTTTTTTTCCTCTCTCTCTCCTTTCCCCCTTGCCCTCTCCTTTCCCGCTGGCGTGTGTGTTTTGAGTCTCACCTCATACTAAGAATCACTAGCGGGAATATTTCACGACAGATTCCAGGGCAATTTGTAGGCTAGCAGGGTATTAAGGTAAAGAGAAGGGGGAAAGAAGGGTGGGAGAAGAAAATGCGGGTTTATGGGAGGGAAGGGAGAAAGTCCATATCTTAACATGTCTGTATCTGTCTTTTTGTGTTGGGAATCCTGCTAGAGTAGGGAAATAATAGTTGAAATGAGCTTGATTAAATTTTTGACTTATAATGTGAAAGGGTTAAATTCCCCAACAAAAAGACATTAGATAACTAGATTATATAATGATCGAACGTAGACAACTGGAGTCGTTGGTTAGTGCCAACATAGAGGTTATGTCTATTTCTTACCACGTTCCTGTCACAATGAGACTACGAGTAGGGGGAGAGGGGATCAGGATAAGATAAAGGTTATGGCAGTAAATTGAGCAATTTTTTTAGCTCAATGAGACTGAGGAGGTGTCGGTGTCTACAATCTGGGAGGCACATAAAGTGTATATCAGAGGAATATTGATGTCGATGGGAGCAAAAAAAAAAGAGAGAGTGAGGGAAAAAAACAAAGACGATGATAGAGGAGCTCTACAAGTTAGAACAGTCAAATAAAAAGAAGACAGGTACAGATGTATATCAGATGATAATTATTAAAAGAGAAGAATTAAACGATCTTATGGTATAGGAGTCGAGAAGGATATTCAACAGGGTCTCAAAAGAAAGATATCAGTTGGTGAATAGACCTGGAAAATACTATAGGCCCAAGTGTTTTGTGAGGCTGGAATATACAAATGATCCAGAAGGTTCAGTGGGATGTCTCTAGTGGCATTGACAGCAGTTTGGTTGTGGCATGCAAGATACAATATGCAACATTACAGTTCCTACTATTTACTTTTTTGATTAATATTTTTACCTACATTTAAGGAAATGCAAATGTGTCTATTTGAAGCAGTGGAGAGATTTTCCCTCTGAGACCTTTACTCCATGTTTCCTATATGATTGATTATCATGAGAACAGTGGTGAACCCAAGGTCTTTGGGGAAAGATAACCCCTGAGGTTCTTTAGAGTCTAAAGTAGTTGACAGGTTAATTTGCCTTCCTGCATCCTCTCAAAGTTGATTAAATTGTCGGTTGGTATTCATATTATGGATCCTCATTTTTAACAAGCAGAACATTCCGACAGGAAGAAGGGAATTGCAAAGAGAGAAGAGCACTAGAAAGAAAAAAGGTAGAAGACTAAAGCTGAGAAGAGGAAAAATAAAAGCATAAATAAGGAGAAAAGGTCACAGAAGAAGGAAATGGAAGAGGAAGGAAGGGGAAAGAAAAGAACAAGACAAGAGAAGAAAAGCCGAAGTATATGGAATACGAAGGTAAAGAACAAGATTAAGAAGAAGAAAAATAGATAAGGTAGGATATAAATGCATACGGGGGGGGGGAGGGAGGGAAACAAAATGAGAAAAGGAAAACGAAAAGTAGATGATGAATATGGAAAAAGAGGGGTCAGAACAAGACTATAAAGAAAAATCATCGACAGGGTAGAGTAGTGCAAGAGGAGAGGACAGAACAAGAAATGGAAAATTAAATATAGAAGAAAGATTTAGAAAAGGAATTAAAATAAGATTAGAAAGAAGAAACATAGAAATAGAACAGTAAGGAAGAGGAGGGGAGGGGACAGAACAAGAAAAGGAAAAAGAAAAGCAGAAGATATAGAAAAGGAAAATCAGAACAAGATTAGAAAGAAGAAACATAGAAATAGAAGGGTATTGAAGAGTAGGGGAGGGGACAGAACAGGGCAATGAAGAAGAAAAGTAGAAGAAAGTCATGGAAGAAGAGGGGACAGAACAAGACTAGGAAGAAGAAAAGAATAAGGATAGAGAGGAGGAGGGGAGGCACAAAGGAAGTCAAGAAAGATTAAAGGAAAAAGAATATGAAATACATAGCTCTCAACTGTCCCTGATTTCGAGGGACTGTCCCTCATTTGGAACAAAGTCCCTCTGTCCATCTTTCCTCCTCATTTGTCCCTCATTTTGGCTTGGTGTACTATATATACTCATAATAAAAATACACTATCAAAAAGTGTTTTACAGTGTTAAACCTTTCAGCCAATTTATAGATTGTAACATTTGTATATTTCAAAAGCCAATAAAAAATGAATAGTATGGTAGAAAGAAAAAAGGACTTGTGGATTTAAACAATCATTTTCTGTGTATTAAGTATCCTTGTAAGGGGGTATGGTGGGGGGTGTCCTATGAATACATACTTGTGTTTATAGGTGTCCCTCATTCCCATCCCAGAAAGTTGGGAGGAATGAAAAGAAGATAATAGAGAAAGAGGCAAGACAGCAGGCAAGAAGTATAGGAGCACGAAAAAGCACTAAGAGGAGCAGTACAAATGAAGTAATGGATAATGAAGTGGGGAAAAAAAGAAAAGAGAAAAATTGGAAAGAGTTTTGGGCAGATAAAAGTTTACCTTGCATTATTGTTCCCGTTGTTGGTTAGTGAATCTCCAATAAGAATTTCTGCTCCATTAATGTACTCTGCACAGCAGTCCCCTCTGTTGGTGATCATTATATGGGATATTTTATAGCTTGCCATTAAATCCACTCTCCACCAGGGTGACAGTTCAGCTTTACTAGCGAAGCAGGACCTGGAGACATAGAGCGGATCTGAATTCCCATCTATAGCATTCAGTCCTGAACCTAAAAATTCATAACTTGACGACTGAGTTGCGCGGCCCTGAAGGCCAAGGTTATCTGGATGAAGAGAGAAAAATTATTCAGAGAGGATCTAAGAACCTTTATAGATGTTTGGGCCATCTTACTGCCAAAATACAGCACTTTCAAAGATAATTTGAAATAATCAATAATACATATTTAACTACATGCTTTCAGAAGAAAAAAAGGATTTTGATATAAGCTACTTTTCTATTGCAGCCATAATAAATGTGAATAACCGATGTATATCAATCTTCTCTTTAATACAAAGTCCAAATACAGAGGCTGCAATTGCTGATCTCTATCCGGAAACACTAGCTAACTGTCTATCATGCTGATGTAACCACTTTATGCAGCGTTACTTACCCAGAACAAAATATATATATCAAGTGAGGTCAGCACAGCCAACCTCTTTGGTGCTTCAAACCAGCCTCAGGGTTTCAAGCTCTCCCCTTTATGTTAGAACATCCACCTGCCCACTGAGCAGTTTAGTAGAACTTGTGTGCTTGCGCTTTATCAGTAACTCAATAAATAGGGAATAGGGATATCAGATTAGCATGACATCCAGGCAGCTAGCATTGAAAGAAGGAGAGGCCAGCAATATAAGTATATATTCCATATTCTTTAACAGAATATTTAAAAAATTCTCTCTTTCTTTCTCCCATGGAAAAAATGGCAAAACCTGACAAATTCTGGTAACTACTCTGCAGTTCATAGCTATGGCTGGTAAAATTCATATTGTAGTTATTTGGAGAACACTAAATCTGAGGCCCTCAAGAACAGGGAAAACTCGATAATGGCCAGAAAAGAGTGGGTTAGTTTTAGATCCTCTGTTTCACTCTCAGTTGAGGTTCTAAATACTGCTGTTACTGGGGCAGAAAATGAGGAAAAGAAACCTACATTTTTTTTTTTTTAAAACAAACCTTTTTAGTTACTTTAGTAGGTTTTTGCTTTTTTAACATTGCTCATGAGTACCTACTGCCATAGGAAGTTGAGGCCATATAAGCCCTCTACACTTCTGTTGAAAGTCATCTAGGATTGTACTGGCATAGCAGATGCTATGGTTATAGCTAGAGATAAGCGAATCGAAGTAGACCGAAGTGGAATTCGAGTCAAATATCGGAAAAATTTCGATTCGCGCCGAATCCAGAAAAAATAGCCCTACTTCGGGGACAGCGCGCGAATCGAAATTTTTCCGAAAATGGGCGAGCGGACATGTGCGGCGACGGAGCGGGGATGTCTGGGAAGGCGCGCAGACAAGGTGCGCTGACCCATAATGCAGTTTCCTCAATGACATCGTGATCACATCAAGCCAATCAGCAGCCAGCCAGCCAGCACTGTGTAATGGTCGAGCTATAAATAGCGGCCATTTTGGAATTCTTCATTTGCCTGCAGTCATTGAACAGAGGTCGACCGCTCTGTATTAGGGGACAGAGTTAGGGGCCACAAGAAACGATACTTGGGGACAGAGAAAGTTATTAGGGACAGAGAACATTACTCAGGGACACAGAATTGTTAATGAGGGCCACAGAATCGTTATTTAGGACAAAGAAACGCTAGTGTAGGGCCACAGAATTTTTTTCAGGGACAGTACAGAATTGTTACTGGAGTGCCAGAGAATGTTCACTTAGGGCACAGAAACGTTAGTTAGGGCCACAGAATTGTTAACAGGGAAAGAGCAGAATTGTTCCTGAGTGCCAGAGAAATTGTTACTTTGGGCCACAGAAAAATTTTTGTTAGGGCCAAAAAAGAATTGTTTCTCAGGGACAGACACAGAATTGTTACTGGGGCCCCCAGAATGTTTTCTTTTGGGCCACAGAAAAGTTATTTGGGCCACAGAAAATTTTTAAAACAGGGACAGACAAAAATTTTACTGAGTGCCCGAGAATTGTTACTTAGGGGCCCCAGAAACTTTAGTTAGGGCCACGAATTGTTTCAGGGGCAGACACAGAATTTTTATGAGGGGCCCCAGAACGTTTTCTTAGGGGGAAAAAAACTTTAGTTAGGGCCACAGAATTGTTTGGCGAACGTTTTTG